TGTGTGTGATGAGTAGAGCCAGTGTGAGGGGTGTGGCTGTGTGTGGTGAGTATAGCTAGTGTGAGGGGTGTGGCTGTGTGAGGTGAGTAGAGCTAGTGTGAGGGGTGTGGCTGTGTGAGGGGTGTGGCTGTGTGTGGTGAGTAGAGTCAGTGTGAGGGGTGTGGCTGTGTGTGATGAGTAGAGCCAGTGTGAGGGGTGTGGCTGTGTGTGGTGGGTAGAGCCAGTGTGAGGGTTGTGACTCTGTGAGGTGAGTAGAGCCAGTGTGAGGGGTGTGGCTGTGTGAGGTGAGTAGAGTCAGTGTGAGTGGTGTGGCTGTGTGTAGTGAGTAGAGTCAGTGTGAGGGGTGTGGCTGTGTGTGGTGAGTAGAGCCAGTGTGAGGGGTGTGGCTGTGTGAGGTGAGTAGAGCCAGTGTGAGGGTTGTGGCTGTGTGAGGTAAGTAGAGTCAGTGTGAGGGGTGTGGCTGTGTGTGGTGAGTAGAGCCAGTGTGGAAGTGATCGAGTGGCGGTGAGGTACCTGGCATAGAGTTAAGTGGCGTGAGAGATTCAAAAGTTCAAAAAGCACAAAAGTAAAGACTCTCTTCAACCCATCATGATCACCAGACCGACGGTGACCGAATCACGTGTGCAAGCATTACTGCACACGCGAAAGTATCTCCCTGTCACACAAACAACACAGTAGCAGAAATGATCACCAAGTTAATTATACCAGATTATCACCAGCTCACTGCTATTTCCTGTTAAACAGTTTAAAGGTATAATTTTTAATCTTGTTTTAACTCAACTGTGATAATTAACTTTACTAAATGCATATAAACACAAACACACACAGTTTATGTACTCTTGATATCACCATTCACGGTTTTCTAAAAGTCACTAATATTATAACTGTAATGACAATAATTTATCGGCCGAGCCGTTGTATCCCATGGGCGTATCGATTTAGAAATCCGTTAAACAAGTTATGACTTTATCATTATCAAGAGCGTATAAAGAATGAGAGCGTACAATGGTGAAATGCTGAAACCATGTTGCAGTATTAGTCGAATTAAGAAACTTTGCCCGTTTTATTTTGACGATTCTTTGCGGTATTATTGATCAGCTGTTCTTCCTTGCTAATATAAAACAAACCGCTTGCTCTTACGCTGAGATAATGAGCGGTGAAAATCTGGTATTTTCGCCGAAAACCGACTCGAGATCACTGTTTACTGCGACCCTCTCTCGCTTTGTAGCCA